CCAATGATAGCAACGGTAGTGATATAAATAGCAGTATGCTGTGACTTAAAATATATTAATCATGCCATAAATAGCCCAGCAAGTTTTGGTGGGGGTAAAAAACCTAAAGATGTTGCATTTTCCTCAAAAATTTACTGAAAACGTAATTTTTTCTTAATAAATAGAATTTAAAAGAGCATTAGAGGCTGAAGCAACTTGGCATTTGGAAATTTAGCAGTTTACTGTATCCAATATAAAAAAAATACATATAATGAACATGCTATATGTAATAGGTGTGAAAAACTAAAATGTAATAAACATTTAAATGAATCAATCAATAAGGTAACAGGTCATTCTCATCATTAATAAATTGTTAAATGTTGTTGCTGTCAAATTGATTCACACAATTATAAAAAAGCAAGATTCGAATATATATGTTTGACCATTTGATTGGTAGCGTTATACAATAGGGTTTTCCTGGTCCTATTTGTACATTTAGGATGTATGGTGCAAGATGTCTATAACAGTTAATGTTTATCACATGGCTTTAAAAGCTTATTTTAAAAGACTTCAAAGTTAGGACATTTTATGTAAAATTGTAAAAATTTCGGAATAATATTCCCTCGTGTTTCCCAATAAAAAAGGAACATGAATGTCAATACTAGTATTGATAATAATGTTAATAGATATCAATACTAATATTAATAGCATATTGATAATAATCTCAATAGGATGTCAATACTAATATATACTAATAATGTTCATATTAATAAAATTTATTATTAATTATAGCAAAACGTTATACAATTAGACAATCAAATAATATAATTCATTCCATCATGAGATCCTTCAGTACAAAGGCTTGTATGAAATGTATCTTTGGTTGTCTATCCACAATTGTTAAAGGATGCAAGTGATTCCATGTATGATCATTGCTTTCCTGAAGAATATATATTGGAAAACCTGTTACAGAATCAACATTTCCGCCTTTGTAATACCAATCAATTAATTAAAAGGGATTAATATGTATAAGATCATCTTGATGTGCACTAATTTCATATGATTGTTCAATCTCCTCTATATCAACTACATCACCAACTTGTAATGTAATATTAATATAAATATCAGCTTCATGCTTGACAGTAAATTGAATAGAATCATAATAATTAATATGCCATTGTGTTATATCACCTGACTCTTGGTATATATCTCTATAAATTTTTCTAAAAATCAATTAACAGATTCTCTATAGAGATAATAGTGATAAGCCTTCTTTTTTAATTTTAGATGGGTCCCATTTTCCTCAAACTTGAATGTTTTGAAAATCAGGATGAATAGAATAGATTTCTAAATTTAAATAAATTGCTATATTATTATTATGCCCATAACCCATTTATATTCCTACCCAGTTATGTTTCATCAAGGAGTTGATGTACTAAACCTGCTAAACAATGAATAAGAGTCCTGAGGTGTTTGTATGTGTCTATTATGAATAAGATGATCAAGATATTTTTTTGAAGATGCAATCCATATTGTTTTGCTATATTTTCTTTAGCAGACTTTGTAAATGCTTTTTAATTTCTTGAAATTTCAAATTTGTAATATGACAATACCTACCATTTGCTTGAATATCAAAATGAAGATTACTAAAAATTTTCTGAGTTACTTCACATGAACAACACCCATGTTCTGCATTATGCTGTTGAACTCCTGCTATATCATTATTGTCTTGTGGCAAATCTGCAGTACACATACCTAAACCTCCAGAAACAAACACCTTTTCATTATTCTATTTATGGTATAAATGGTTTAGTGAATTCTGCAAATTTTCGCACCAAATGGAACAAAACCAATAAAAAAAAGGTTTTTAGGGCATTGTCACATTAAAAGTACCCTATTTCCAAATTGTAAATAAAGCCCACCAAGCTTTACCAAATGCACATAATATAAGCCAATAAAAATTTTTAAATGATGGAAGCCAGACGGAGAGAATAACTAATGGACTGACATAGTAATTGATGTTGTTGATGTATTTGCCTTATTTTTGGTCAATTACAATGTGTATATAAAAATTTCTTTGGTGAATCTTTAAGCCAGACACCAATATGTTGAATTACATCATCTATACAAGTAGTTGTTTGTTCTTCGGTTAACCAAACAGCATGATTCTTTGATTGGTTTAAACAATCAAGAGATCTTAAATTGCCTGGAAGATCTATATGATATATAATCTAACAATTTTTTTTTGTTATATTCCATTTATTTGACCTAATTGTTGACTTATATTTTTTTCATTAACATGATAAAGTACAAAATCTCCAGCTTAATAAAGTACTAAAAAATAAATGATAACACATGCAATTATCTTTAAAATGCAGAAATATAAAGCACACCATTTCCAATGTTATATTGATGTTTCCCAAATATTGGAGATCCTTTCCATACTTGTCCATGCCATAATTCTAATTTTTCTTCAATTTCAATACCAGGGCCAAAATATAACTTTGGATAAATTGATAGATTATTAAGAATATGTTGAATATGATCAAGAACGGAAAATGTAAAACATTCTTTAAAAAGTTTAGAGGTAGAAGGAGTATATGTTAGATTAATTTTAACTTTATGACTGCCAAGTGTCATTAATGGCAAGTTACATTGCATTTGTTTTAGTGTTGTAATGTTAAGTGAGAGTTCATGTGCATGAAAATCTGGATGTTGTAAGATTTTGATATGCATGTGATCCTACGGTTTTATTAAATATATTAATTAGTTGTTTAACAAAAAGTAATATAAATAATAATAACTATATATTATTATCTATCATATGTTTTGTATATCAATATCACAGACTTATTAGGAAAATAAGATTAGATGTATTTTGTAATCATATTTATTTTTAAAGATAAAGGAATATCATCACTGCCATTATCATATCCCCATATATAAATCTTCATTGATGCTAATTTTACTTGTATTATCTGATTGCCATATATAAATCTTATCAATGCTATTTTCACTTATATTATTGATTGCCACATTTAATCTTGGTTATTTTGATTATTTTCATTGTTGGTATTATTATCTCCTATATATAATCAGTTGAAAAATCATTTATATTGCTTTAAGAAATATTATTAAAGCTCTTATTATTTGTTATAAATAATATCCATAATATATATACTAGAGTAAATATAACCTTTTGGGAGTAAAAACAATTATGTTTTTATGTGTGTTGATATGCGTTGTGGTTTTAATTATAGGGAGGTTGTGTTAATTTATTTCGCAGATCACCAAGATTTCTACGAAACACGGATTAAAAATAAAAATAATAAAAAATCAAAAATAGAATAATTTAATTGTTAGTTATTATTATTTATTTTACAACGAATTCTATTGATTTAATAAATATTATCAAAAGATATAAAAATCCGTTGAAACGCGATTAGTAATTTCGTTTCAACGGGATTTTAAATGAAATTTAATATATGTTCAGCCACTTGTTGAAACGAGGGTTGTACTGTATTTTGATTAAAAATAAATATTAAATATTGAAGAAATTATAAGATAAAAGAACTACCAAAGGAATTGCATGGGAAATCATTAATGAATACCATCTATTCTGATGTAAAATATATTCTATATTTTCACTGTTATTATTAATATTATTACTATTGCTTATATCAGTACTCGTCTTTCTTTACATCCTCATCCTCATCCTCCTCTATTTATTAACCCATTTTATTGATTACTTCTCTCATTTTTTCTAAGATTCATTTTTCATTGGTAGAAATTTTTATAGTGGGAGCAACAACACCTTTTCTTCATCAAGTAATTCATAGATCTCAAATAATTGCTTGAAATCCTTCCATAGATTTTCCATTTCTTCGAATATTTTTTTTTTCACTGCTCTATTTTATCGATTTGATCCCGAAATATATCTATATACAGAGGTCGGTGTTACCAAATTAGGAAATAAAATTTAAAACACAAACTCCGTCCTAAAAGCCAAGAACAAGTCGCATTTTTATTGAATTGCTTATTGATAGAAAATTTTGTAAATATTTTTATTATTTGGTTGTAGTTTGATGAATTAGTGATGTTTATAATGTTCGAATGCAAGTTACCTTGATACTGATATCAATCAAGATTTATTTAAATCGCATAAAGAGGATTATTAAATTAATATTAATGTTTTCCATAATAGTAAATGAATATATTAATATGGCGATCACTTTACACAACATTAATAATAGATAATGAAAATTTTTTACCATTGGACCAAATATATTTATGAGAAGAAAATATACATATTATTATATTATTCAGCAAATAATTCTTTTGGCCTTTCAAACTAATGTGGCGGATTGATTCATAGAAAAATAAATAAATAAAATTTTAGAAACACAAACTTTTTGCTGGAACATATTTGGCGTGGTGTTGCTGTTGTAGTTCTATTGAACAGCTAGTTACTAATTTATTGCTAACCAATATCTTTATTATGTTAATATTAAGGAATAAGTAATTCCCTTCGACCGAATTGTTACCCGAGTATACTATTAATATTAAAATAAAACGATCTACAAAATTGTCCATCACGATGGTTACATTAGAATCTTCTATAGAAATTAAAATATTAATGAGTTTTAAAAGATTTAGAAAATTAAAATTTAAAGTCGAACAAACTTTTACCTTTTCTTTAAGTGATAGCAGGTCTTCCACTTAATGCCAAATAGCAAAAAGAAGTTTTTTTATGACAATTAATTTCACAAATAATAGTAATTAATAATAATATTAAAATTAAGAAAAAAAATATTTAAAATATGCCACAAATATTATTTCCTAGATCTGTGACATCGTCCTCAACCTCTTCACGAAATGGTGACAACAACGACGACAATAACAACAACAACAACAACAACAACAACAACAATAATAATAACAACAGCAACGGCGGTGATAATAATAATGCAACAATTTTTACTAGACTGTCTGGTTTGACTAGTATAATATCAGCAAGCTCCATGATTCGTTACATTATTTTAATATTTCTTGTAGGTCTTGTTACTGTATTATATTTTGCCACCACACAACAAGTATTAAAGCCTTCAGGAGTCGGTCCATTGATCGTTATTGATAACTTCTACCAAATTGACCGTAACAAAAATATTGGCTCGGAATCAACGACCGAGAACCAACAGACCTTTGATAGTAATAAGGTAGCACATCTCAATAGTGATTATTACACGTTGAAAGACAATGTGCAAGGTATATTATATGACCGTGGTGATGGCTGTAACACGTATAATCCATACAAACCTGAACAAAAACCAGCAAATGCAATAAGTCCAGTACTTCCTCCTAACGTTTTTCCAAATAAGTTTATAGGGTTGGTTACATCAGATACGACTAATTGCAGCATCGACGATAAAATAAATAAAGCAATAGAAGATGGTGTGAGTGGCGTAATTATCATTATGTATGACCTTGACGTTAACAACGCTCGAATACCCGTTTTCTCAATCGATTCTCAGGATTCACCGAAAATTACACAATCTCTAGAAGAAATATATAACAACTTTTCCAAAGGGATTAATGATAACTTACCCTATAGAGTGTTACGTGCCAGTCTTAGACCTTATCAACCAATAATTGTCAGTTCATGGCTGTTTGCAATGTTTGCAGTGGGTGGTATTCTGGTAATTTCATTCTTTGTCTCGATTCTAATACATATGAGACTTTATCGCATGAGAAGAAATCAACAAGATGAAATTAGAAGACAACGTGATGCTGAAGATTTAATGGGAATGAAGAAATGGACTTTGGGAAAAGAGATTGTCAACACATTTCCTGTCATAATATATCAAAAAAAGAAGAAAATTGTTAATGATGATGATAGCGATAAGAATAGTAATAAAGACAATAGCTCTACAGCTACAGGTCCCGTGGCATCAATTAATCGTACAGCGTCTATGAAATCTATTCGCTCAACTCGCTCAACTCGGTCCACTCGTTCAGTTAATGCTATAAACAATGCTACAAATCTCTATAATAACAAATCAAAAGAAGAACATATTATATTCATGGAAGAATCATCGTCATCTATTGATAAAGTTGTAGTAGTGAAAATTGATGATGTTGTGGATGATGATGATGATGTTAATAATAATTCAGTAACAAACGGTCAAGAAAAAATAAATAATGATAACGATAATAATAACAATAATGACAAGACTAAAGAAGAAGATTCAGATGAAGATGACTTAACTTGTGCTATTTGTCTTGAAGATTATGATAACGGTGATGAAATAAGAGAGTTGCCTTGTAAACATTGGTTTCATGTAGAATGTATTGATCCGTGGTTAATCAATAAGAGCAGTTCATGTCCTCTTTGTAAGAAAGATTGTAATCTTGACAGTAGTAGTAGTAATACTAATAATGAGGATGAATCAGGTGATGGGAATCATCTTAATAATAATATAATTGATAATAATAATAATAATACTGGCCATAATAATATTATGGGTCTTTTTGGTAATTTAGAAAGACTTTTTAGAAGAAATAGGTCAGCGTCAGGTAATAATAATAGTAACAATGAAAGTTTGAGATTGGAAAACATTAATAGAACAACAAGCTGATAATAATTATCATAATTATCACATGATTTACAATTTGGATATTTATATTATCAATTATACACATTTAACTAATTCATTCATTAAAAATTTTTCTCGATTATTATTAATATTTTTTTCATATTTATATTGTTTTTCAAAATACCAATGGGGGAAAAAATTTTGTTTTTTTTTTTGTAATTTTTACTTGTTAAATATTTTTGAATAGATAATTATTCAAATAAAAATTATTATTTACTGAAATGTTCCGGGTGATAATGTGGGAAACAAAATTTTCACAGGAAATCAAACATTTTGACTTCATCGCAAATAAATAACTCATTGGATAATACCTATTACATAAGTACCATCCAGGTAAATTAGCACTAGCATTAGTTAATAAAAAAACATTCCGGACTGTGTTGTTATTTTTCTCAAAGACACAGATCCTTCAAGTTAATTGATTATTATTTATTTTCATCAACAAGCTTTGGCTTAAGAACAAGCTTCGAATTGATAAATTATGACACATTCAAAGCCATTCGCTGGCAAAGGCTTATTCAGTTTACCCAATTTATTTTATTGGCATTGCACAAATAATAAACAACATGTTTTATAAAAAAAAACTTGTAAAACACGTTCAAATTCAATAATCTCTTACTTTTCTTTAAAATAAATAAAACCTATTTACTTTTATTTTTTCGCACTAATATAAAAAACCATTCTTTTATCTCACTTCTAATAAATAAATTGATAGTTATAGAAGAAAGGGTTGTCTTTATAGATATTTGACGATGAGTTGATAAAATTTCAATGTCGGGAAAAAACGAAAACCGTTTTGTGTGACAAGTCGTTTGAATTATAAATTACTTTTATTTTTATCATTTATCCTTTCTCGATTTTTTCGATAAAATTTAATTAGATTCACCAAATACGATATTATTGGTGGCTCATTTTTACGTGGATTTATATACCATTCATAATTAATAGTTAATTTAGATTTTATATGTATGCTATATGAATTTTTATGTAATATATTTTTTCACCGAATAAGCAAAAACCAAAGTATACCATTATTAACTGATGCTCCTTTGAAATATAGTGCAACAGTTGGATATTTTCTATAATTGTCACATTTGCATTAATTGCAAATGTACTAAATAATTCCTTTAATTGCCATTATTTGAACTTTTTGATAAAAAAAATTTTTTTTAAACTTTAATATTAAAAATTTTTTTTTATCCAAATATTGCAGATTCATTTTTTTTTTTTCGCGCTTACGAAAGGATTTACTTATACTACAATATAAGCAATCAATTATCCAAGATCAATCAATTTTAGCTTTCTTGTTCTAATATCAGAGGATTGGTTAATCTATAAAATTCAAATGTCTTCATATTTATGAGCCAAACCTCATTATAATGAATTTACTAGTGTATTAAAACGGATTTTGTACGCTTATAGTAATAGTAATAGTTAAAAGTTCGTTATAACTGTAAATTTATAGCATGACCAAATCAAGTAAGCTTCTTTACTAATACAAAATTACGCGTGTAACATTTAATGGGTTAATTAATTGATTATCTATCACCTTTAAAATTCCTATTGATAGCTAAATAATATTTTTATTATGATGAATAAAAAATGTGAACCCATTTTTTTCTTCAAATTATATAAAGACGACGTGATCTTTTTTTATTTTCTATTAATACGATCTATGGTGAGACGGTTGCATTTTTTACTTTCGAATCATAGTGTTGATTGGTCACATTCAATAGAGTCGTTTAATTTTTTTTTGTTCTTTACAACAATCACAAGAAAAATTTAATAAATCGTCATCATATTTATTTATCATTTAATCTTAATATTAGTCGAGAATTCTTTCTTTCTACAGTTGTCAACTCAAAAAAAAAATTTTAAATTTACCAAATTTAGTTAAATAAACCAACCAGACAGAGCTTTTGAAATTACTGGCTTTATATATGTAGATATAAAATTCATGCTGTTACAACATGTTTTTTAATCAATTTTCTTTCATATATAATTAATTACGTATGCCATTAACAAAAAAAAATCTAAAATCAATTTATAGAAAAAAATGATATCATTGACAACAATTCATCACCGTGCATAAAAAGTTGGGGCATATTGACATTTATAGAAAGGGATATAGGCAGAGTTTGCAAGAGGCATAAAATTAAATTTTCATTCAAATATTAATACTCTAATTAACAAGAAATCTTCTATCCCACTTGTAACAAAAACTATTACTATGATAAAATCGACAAGACGAATTTAGTAAGTGGATCACATGTAATTTCGAGTTTCTACCGCATTTAGAAATTATCTTTTTTTGGCCTCAATTTGTAAATTTTAATATATTATTTCTTTTTGGATTTCTATAAAACTACGCCCATATAAAAGCACATCTTTTTGACCACCCATCAAATTTATAAAGGAAATATTGGAGAAAAATCTCAGTTTTGAAGTGATAAGTAATGTTGTTTTTGAATAACTATAGCTTTACATAGAGAGTCTCTATCAATATGAGAGGGTATTTATTTGAAACTTTAATGGCACAGTTTTATCTTATATTATAATGGTGTTTGAATTTGTTATAAAAATTAAAAAAATAATGAAAACGGATTTGTTACACAATTCGAAAATTTTAATGTGACTCATTTTTATAAACAAACCTTTAACAAGAATAATAACAATTTAAATTCATAATTATATAATTCTTCCTTCTACCCCTCCATTAACATCTTCATCAACTTCATCATCAGATTGTTATCAACAACGTCAACAATAATAAAAATCGATTATTTGATACATTAAGTTTATTACAAACAGAAAAACAGCCTGATTTATCATTTGCGATGTCACAAGAAACGCTAACAATTCCAGTTGAATTCTTGGTGGGTAAAATCAGTAAAAATCAAAGTCTAGTTTTCACCAATATAATCAATGATCTTCGTGAAAATCTACCACCAGCTATGAAATATCATTTTCAACAATCTCATGGTGTCGATTGGGCTTATCCAGTAAATGAACCTGAACCATGGAATACAATTACAATTTTTCGATTATTGGATCGTTTCTGGTTTACTACCTTCTCTGATGTGTTTCAAAACTCTCGTACGATGAACGAGATTATTATTAACACGAAAGAGATTCTTGGTAAATGGTATAACGAACCTATAACTGTTCGTGAGATGATGCAATTCATACAAAATTCTGAAGCAATTTTAAGACTAATTCATAAAGATGCACACGGAGCTGGTTTGACTATGCATGACACAAACTTGATGGCTGAGAATTGGTGGGATGAATTCCGAGCTACACTTCATTAACAATACAAAAGTTGAAAAAGAAGTTATTAAACTAAAATTATATTTGTAAATATAATTAAAATTTATAAATCTTATATTTTATTATTTGAAATTCAGTTCAATTAATAAATAATAAAATTAAAACTGATAACATCTCTGGCCCTCCTCTTTCATGTAAATGTCAAAATTCACTTGATCTTTGATTATTTGATGATGATATTAATGATTGTTTGAATAATTGATAATTTTTTGGTTTATAAGATTTGCTTAAAATAGAAGTATTTATAAAAATGGATTTTTACCTCTATTGTTATTATTATTATCATCATCTCTGTTATTATTTTTATCTCTATTATTAATATTTTGACCATTACTATTTTTATCTTATCTTTAGTAGAATTTTTTGATTTCCAAAATCCTTGAAAATTCCATAGGGTTTCAATTTGGTTAATAAAGATCTTTCTTTACATTCAACACTTTCACAACCTTCGACAAAGATCAAGAATACTAAATGGTGGTCCACGTGTCGTAAGTATATCAGCTGTTTTTAGTATCTTTGTCCAGTTTTCTTTAGAGTTTAAAGAAAATCCTATATATATACAAACTATTTAATTTATGCTTATTTATCTCACAGCAATGTTGCACGTGATCTACTATTTAAACAAAGCAACTTTTAAATATGATGATGACCTTATTTTTAGAATAAAGGTTTTCACAATGTTACATTAGATCATTGGATTTTATCGCATATTGTATTCTGTTGCTAAGAAATTACTATTGGACTTCCATTGCAGAGACAAATTTGTCGATGAATGAAAAACATTGATAAGTTGAAAAAGTCAAATAGACAGGTAAAAGCTCTATGCAGAAAATAAAATAAATGCTTGGACTTTGAAACCAATACAAAATGGAATACTGTAAATATAATTCAATCAAATCTCAAATGCTATATTTACCAGAAACTAATAGGAATAATTATAAATAAAATGTTGATTTTTTAATGATCAACTTTTATCCTTATTTATTCTATATCATTTCGACCTTTTGAAAAAAGTGGGGAAACAAATACTACCTTAACATAATTAAAGGTTTTTGTTTTACATTTATTTTTCATTTAGCGTTTTGGTAAAAAGGCAACAATTACGAAGCTTTGCTAAAAGTCACGCTTATTTGCTTTAGAAAAAGTTGTGAGCGTCAACAACTATTAACAACATAGTTTGCTTCAGTGAGGAAATAAAGGTTTCATATTGACGTTGGTTAACTAGTGAGTATTAACGGCGGTTAGTGAAGTATTGTCCAAAGGTTAATTTGAAATACTGGTAATGTTATTGTTATTGTAGGTGTAAGGCTGTTAAACAAGCTGTTTAAGTCGTTTTGTAAATAAACCAAATCGAGCTTATAATCTTTCAGATAAAAAATAAACAAGGGTAAACGAACGACTGTCACAAGTGAATAAAAGAAACTTTATAGAAGCCTCTGAGCTTTGTAAAAGAACTAATCTATTTATTTATGGTTGCTTGGTACCATTAAATATGCATACTACTATACATTTGCCAAAGCTTCCTAGGTAGGAGAAAGAGGAAGTGAGCGAGAACCAAAGTAAATTTGTTTAATTGACAAACACCAAATTATTGTGTATGGCTTACTAGAGTAGCCCAAAAGTTCAGCCACAATCGGCGTTAGCCGAAATGTTAGCCTTCAATTAAGGCATAGAAACTACATGATGATGGATTACCAAATCTTTAATGCCAAAAGTAGATATGACATTAGAATGGTTTATTTCAAATTTGGCATCTTTCATTATTAATTAATTTAAGATTTCTTTGTTATAATCTTTGAGATAGAACTCCCAGCAAAATTAATTGAAATTTATTTCACATGTGCGTATAAACTTCCACCTGATTCGAAGATAATCCTTCTGTGATTCTAATTACAGAAGTAATATCAAATAGAATCAATAGAAAGGCATATCAATCCCCCAATTAATATATAGTTACTGTGATACTGATTGATATTTTTTTATTGGCCAAATCACACACAAACACCTTTCCTTAATTTTATTATATCAATAATAATAATAATTTCCCATTTAAAAGATTTAAAGGACTAAACGCAAACATTTTGAGAAATAGTTAAAAATAATAAAAATAATAAAAAATGAATATTTTTCGACTTTTGGCAGATTTGATGCATTTAGTATCAATTTGTATTTTATTGTTAAAGATTCAAAAAACAAGATCATGTGCTGGTATGGTTTTTTTATTTAGAATTATGTATTTTGTATATTTATGATCCGAGATTATCGAGATTAGCTATTATTATTATTTAGTTGCAATAACAACATCATGTTAATTCACATCCAGGGATTTCGTTTAAGACACAACTACTTTATGCAATAGTTTTCGTTACACGTTACTTGGATTTATTTACAACATGGATTTCAGTTTACAACACTTTAATGAAAGTTTTCTTTATAGCTACGTCAATTTACATTTTATATTTAATGAAAGCTAAATTCCGAGCAACTTATGATCCAAATCTAGATACATTTCGTATAGAATATTTGTTAGGAGCAAGTTTAATACTTGGTTTAATATTTAATTATTATTTCACGTTTACTGAGGTAAATAGTTAATATTTTATTTTTATTTTATTGGTAATTAATTTTTGTTTCTACCTTAATTAACCGCTTCAATTAATTAATTGATCAATCAACCAACTCATTTTACATCATCACTAAAGGTCTTGTGGACATTTTCAATCTATCTTGAATCTGTTGCCATTCTGCCACAACTGTTTATGCTTTCACGTACTGGAGAAGCTGAAACTATTACAACACATTATTTATTTGCGTTAGGCACATATCGTGCACTTTATTTAATAAATTGGTTGTGGCGTTTTACATTTGAAGGACATGTTGATTGGATTGTTTGGATCGCTGGTGCTATCCAAACAGCTTTATATAGTGATTTCTTTTATATTTATTATACAAGGTAAGTTTTTTTTTGAAAAAGATGAAACATTTGAGAGATAAATTTTTTTAATCATTCTTTTTTTATTTTTGATATTGTAGAGTATTAAAAGAAAGAAAGAAATTTGAATTACCGCAGTAAGTTTAGTATAAAAAAATAGTAATTTAAAGATTGTATTTGACAATTGATTAAATAATTATGAAAAAAATAAAAAAATTTATTGAAATACAATTTATCAAACTTAATTTTTTTTTAAAAAAACAATCTAATAAAATTTTTTCCTTAGGGACATTGTGTAAATTTTCAAAATAATATATATAAATAGAGAAAATTATTTTAATCATAATTTTTTTAATATATAATTTAACTAAAATAATATGTTACATTTTATTAATTTTTTTTATTTTATTATTGATATTTTTAACTTTATTATAGAAAAAAGTATAATAAAATATAATTTAATCTACTTAATATTTCATTTTTATAGAAAAGTGTAATAAAATATATTAATTAATATATAATGATGGCATTTAGACAAAGTAACAGAAATTACAGGGTTCAAAAATTATTGACATTACAACTCTACTAATCCAAAGATAAGCTTTCTTGGGTTTTCATTATTAAATTACTTTTTCATGTTCTTATCAAGTGTTATTGTTAAGGACTAAATTAGCATATTTTTTGTTGAATGTCAGACAAATAAAAGCTTTCGGAATTATTATTGTATCAAAAAATAATTAGAATTTCATAGATTATTGGATATAAAATAGACCGTTCTTACTCTCATTCACGCTTGCATATGGTTCATGTCATCTAAAGACATCTAATCTTTAAAATGCCAAGGTTCAAAAATCATATTAATGTATGGAAACTATAAATCAACACTATTTTTTACAATCTACATAACAACAATAATGTAACGGAGAGTTTTTTTTAATAGGCAACTCCGTTAATCCGAAATCCGTTAATATTAATCTGAAACATAATAATAATCAGAAATTTATTCAGTTTTCCGTTAATCCGAAGAAAAGTGGCTGGCTGCACAAAACGCCTTCGGACTAACGTAATAAAAAGAAGAGGCTATAAAGTTATACGATTTTATTACAAGTCATACCTCCATATCCATATAAGAACCTTATCAGGAACATAGTGATTTTTTCTAAAAAATGTTCTTACTATTTGTTCTTATATAGAGGTATTTTTCTATAAGCTTAATAGTAATCGGCATAGATTGTTTTAAAATTAATATGGTTGGCTCGGTCTAAAGACCTCCTATTTCTGCGCCACGTGGCCAAATTTCAAAAATAGCAATTTTGTAATTT